TAGCGACAGCAGATGGATAAAGAGAATAACCGAATGGAGCCCCATAGGAAGGAGAAAAAGAGGACGACCCCGAAGATCCTGGAGGAACGAAGTAGACGACGACATGAGAAAGAGAGGCCTAAACCATGGAGAATGGGACAACAGAGAGAGATGGAAACGGTGGAGCGAGGGAAGGTAGTGAATACTGTAGGATTCCTAAATATATATATATATATATATATATATATATATATATATATATATATATATATATATCGAGAAAAGGAGTAAGACCGTCAATCCAATATAAAATAAGGATCACTCGAAGAGTGGCGGGTTTTTCGGTCAAAAATTGGAGAAAAAAGACAAAGATGATTCAAAGCTACTTCATCTATTTATTGAAAACGTTTCGCTATTCAATTTGATAGCATCATCAGTTCATCTAAAAAGAACAATATGAAAAACCTAACATCCAATGAAAAACTATTAGGTATGTTACCTCAGAAAGGTATGTAGCACTCAGTGATATTAACAATTATTGTAAAGAAGCTTACGACAATGGACATTGTATAATTATGTTGTATAAACAATAAATTGAACTAAATATAGTTGACAAATATAGGTAAAAAAAAATATAGGCAAAAACTTATCATATATAAAAAAAACAACAAAATTAGTGTGGAAAAGAACTATATAAATATGAAAGAAATAGTAATAGATAAAGAAATAGAAAAGAAATATATATATATATATATATATATATATATATATATATATATATATATATATATTAAACTGTATAAACAGAAGAACATTCCTGTTAAAATTGCGGTTAAGAATGCCAAGACTGTCAGAAATTTGTTTTCAAAAACCAAAACACCCTTGTCCCCTCTGGAACAAGTTAATGTCATTTATCATTTACCTTGTGCTGATTGTGACTTGTGCTACATCGGTCAGACTGGGAGATCACTGAGAGGGCGTCTTACGACACACCGCAGTGATATCAAATTATCTAAGCATACTTGTGCCCTTGCACAGCATGCTATTAACACTAAACACAGAGTAGATTTTAATGAAGTTAAGATTCTTGGTTCTGAACGTAATCTCGTTAAAAGACAGTTTTTAGAAATGTGTCATATACTTAAACACCCTAATACTCTTAATAAGAGAACTGACATTAGTAACTTGAGCCAAATTTATCATGCTCTAATATTGCAGAGTTAGGCTTACTATATTATTTACTTTAAAAATTGTCACCTAAGGTGTTTTTTTTACATAATTTCTCTTTAAATAATTTTCAAATATAAATTAAAATAAATTAAATAATAAACTCTTCCTTTAAATTATCCTAGATCTATGCAAGCCATATTTCATGACTTCATGATTTCATGTCAACGTTGCTTTTGTACAATTGTATTAATAGTTTCCATACGAATAGTTTAATACAACTTTATTATTATAAATTGATTCATAGAATCTTATTAAATTCAGTTCTAAATGTGATGAACCTTGGACTGTTGGAAGTTTGATCATCCTTCCCCTGTGGCTGGCTAACCAGTCACAACGTAGACTATTAACATATGATTTTTTGGATTGACTTCTCTTGTTTGTTCTTTATTGCATTTCAACCGATCACTGGCGGGAAGAAAGGAGTTCTTAACCACCTTTTCCTTTCAGTTTTTTGATTTTTACAGACAGTTTGTCGACCAAATTTTGTCATATTTTTAAATAAACCGCTCTATTATACTGGAGTTGGTAGTAATACGTCTTGTTTTTCTGTCACTCGTTGACCTCTTGGCATCTGTCTTTTCACGTTGTTGACGTTTAACACCTGTTGCCTTCATTTCACCGGCAGCACTCGACAAGCTCTCAGTGGTAACTTCATTATTACTTTTAAATTACTAAATTTTTAATTAAACATTAGAATAATGCTACCTAAAGTTAAAATGAAATCTTAATTATTGAATTACTGTTGGAAGTGCATTCTTGGACCTTTTAGTTCTTTTCCACACTAATTTTGTTGTTTTTTTTATACATGATAAGTTTTTACCTATATTTTTTTAACATACATGTACAACTACCACATGTTTTTTTGCTGTGCTAATTTTATGAAAATTGTCAACTATATTTAGTTCAATTTATTGTTTATACAACATAATTATACAATGTCCATTATACAAGCTTCTTTACAATAATTGTTAATATCACTGACTGCTACATATCTTTTTGAGGTAACATACTTAATAGCTTTTCATTGGATGTTAGGTTTTTCATATTGTTCTTTTTAGATGAACTGATGATGCTATCAAATTGGATAGCGAAACGTTTTCAATAAATAGATGAAGTAGCCATCATCTTTGTCTTTTTTCTCCAATTTTTGACCGAAAAACCCGCCACTCTTCGAGCGATCCTTATTATATATATATATATATATATATATATATATATATATATATATATATATATATATATATATATATATCTCTTCGAAAGGGCTTTAGTGAATATGTGAGTAATATATACAGATATCTTGGGTTTAGTAATCAATATTGGCCTTTAAGTAAAACTCTTTTAGGTTTGTTAAGCTTTCTTATTTTTAAACCCAAGATATTCGTATATATATATATATATATATATATATATATATACATAATTATTTATTTATTTCGATTTTCTACTATTTCAATTCATTCCCATTTACCGTATAACCCTCGCATATCTAGGGTCATTTTAACGATTGGTAAAATTGTTCGGAGTTTGGAAATATTTTAAATTAGCTCTATTGGTTAAAATAATAAAATATCAAAATAAATATAGCAACAATCTAATTGAAGTAAACAAAGTAAAGCTAGCCGTGATGATCGCCAACATCCGGAACGGATAGTCAATTTAAGAAGAAGAAGAAGAAGAGGTTAAAATAATTTATTTTGTGTCAATTCATTGTTATCGTAATAATTCATATTCATTGATTTTTTTTATAAATACTTCACGTTTTTTTTTATTGTTTTTCGAATATCTATATGCTTTTGGAATCTTATTTCAAGTCTATGCTTTAGTCATTTTTAATTATTTTCTTTGTACATAAAATTCTTGTTACCAGTATGTTGAAGACTATGGGATCAGGTCCAAAAAAGGAAGTGCCAGCTGAATGTACAGCATAACTTGGTCTCCAGAGTGACAAGATCAGTCAGTCACAGTGTACTTGTACTTACTCAGTTCAGTACGTAATAAGCATGTCCCGAGTACCTTCTATCCATTTTCGGTGAGAATGTTCTTTATCAATAGAGTAGTGGGAGAGTCTAGGCTTTATTACAGCCCTATGAGATTTAAATGGGAACTCAAGCGCTGCAATGTTACCATTTTCAAGACACTGTAACATTATTAATGCTGCATCGGCTCTAGCATTATCATGCTTTGGCGTAAAGTCATCGTAGCATTCGTCAAAGATCTGTACGACTCTTCCAGCTAATGCCATACCATAACATAATGAAAACAATACAGCTAAGGTTATACGCAAGATTACAAGCTGTGTAACATTCCTCTGGCCTTTATACAAGACTATTCATCACCATCTTCGACTAGGTACGTCTTGATTGGAGATTTATTATTTTCTTTCACTGTTACCGATTGTTACTGCATCTTTGCATCTTTTTTTTTTAATAACTGACCTTCTACCATAGCGCGTTTTTCAAAATAATGTATTTAGTAGTAGTTAATCACTCCATCTTGGTACATATCCCGCCCATCTTATTTGGTTTGTCTTGATGTAGTGTACTATGTTTTCATCTCGATTTTTGGTTATGTCTTCTTTAAGACTATTCATCGGTCTTTCATAATTATCTTTTTGTTTCGTTTGTATGTTCATTTCTGTTAGTACGTGCACTCTCAAATTATATATGAACAATTTTGAGAAGTGGAAGATTATGGGATCAGGTCCAAAAAGGAAAGTGCCAAGGACTGTTTTGATTTAAATAAATCTTTTTACGTTTCCGTATTTTAATTGATAAATTTGACTAGTAAGTTGCTGAGCTTAAATGCGTGACTTCATAGGAATAAGTCTCAAGCTTTCATCACCCTTTGTATATCTTTTACGACTTTGACCAAGCTGTCCTTTCTATTCTCTAGTTTTATTGGGTCTTCTTGATATACGAAAAACAGTCGATTAATCGGTCTTAATTATTTGGGCAATATAAATTCTTTGTATGTACCCTTCATTGTCTGTTTTTTTTAATTTATGATATTTAGATAGGCATCACTCGTTGAATCTAACATTCGAGCGAAAAGTAGTTGAAATACCATTCTAACTACGTTAAGTCGTTAAGTAAACGTAATTGATTGTTTTGTTGGTCCAAGTGTTCAATGACAATTAAAGTAATGTTATTTCACACTAGGTCAATTTTTAGCAGTTGTAAATAAATATTTTACAATTAATGATATTAAACCTATTACAATACGTTGAAGAAGGTTTTTGTTTTATAACAAAAAATTGCATACACGAGGCATTATATTGCAAAAAGATAAAGAAACACACTCGTTGCTTTTAGTTTTAGACATGTTATAAGTAGGGATCGCGCCGATTTGCGGCGTAGTCTTTTAATAAGGGTACCTTAGGTAATACGTTAGTTATCGCATTAGCTATATTTTTTCCAAGCTATTCCAATCAATTCCGAATTATTTTCCATCGTAGATCGAAAACAACTACTGACGGAGAGTACTGAATTTATATTCGAGCCAATTTTACAGTGCAGTGAACGATATTTGACAATATAAATGTTACAAATTTGGAAAAACAATAGGCAATATTATTGTTTGTGAGTATATACTGATTATATTATAAGACATATTATTAAATATGTTAAAACTCAAGCTTAAACAATAATTAGAAGCACAACAACTATTATAATGTATATCTAAGTTCAAATTAAATATAGCATATGTACAGCTTTTATTAGCATTGATTCAAGCTACAACACACACACATATTTCTAGTAATTTTTCTACATTTCCACTACCGGACTTACACTATTGGATCTCAACAACTCGAAGTCGTCTTTCGGATGAATCTCTTCGAAATGATTAGCAATCCGAGCTTCGACGATTTCCAGAGCGACTCTCTGGGGCGACTGTTCCTTTTTCACCAGAATCGGACGAACCTTTTTCACCTTTCTCTGCTGAAATGTGAGCGTGTATAGGCAAAACGAAGCTTAAGATTAAAAATTGCTGTAAAAAAATTGTACTGGCAAAAATGTGTTATATCATGCCATTTGGTCGCCAGGATCTGACATCCAGTGGGTTTTATATGTTTTTCAAGCTAAAAAATCCATCAAGTGGAAAATATTTCGGATTGGTGAAGTAATGAAAGAAACAATCCCAAAATATTGGGGGTCAACATGAATGGGAAGTTTCTGAGCAACTTGAGGTTTGTAGACGACACAGTCCTTAGTCCACACCAGAAGATCATGCTTGCAAACTTCTTCAATTGCTTCAGAGCTCTTGTACGGTCTTAAAATTAACTTTTCCAAAACACAATACATGACTAACCTTGTACTGGCCAACAACATTTCAACTAATGGCACGCAAATTAAACAAATGTATACCTATAAGTATCTGGGACACAAGATTAAATTAAGAACAGATAATCAAACAACAGTTAAACAGGAGATTAGGATTAAAATGGGCAGCTCACGTAAAACTGAAGGAAATCTTTATTTACATCGGATATTCCCACGTCCTTGAAAAGGGTCTTTGGTCAATATGTGCTCCCAGTTCTAACGCATGGAGCAGAAACATTGACTCTTACCAGAAAAATAATAATAAGATAAAGACTTTTTACAATACAGAACACAACAAAAACAACAGGCATATAACCACTATAAACGAATCAGAAATGAAACGAATACTTTAGGTAGACAAATAAAAAGGGAACACTGGCAGAGCTTTTCAAAACAGACGGAACATGACTTCTACGGATCACAAAAAGAAATATGAAGAATGATCAGAGGACAAAGAAAAGAGATAAATGAACTAATACAAACGAAACACCAACACCAGAGGTGCCGACAAACGAAGAAATAAATATTGAGGAGGAAGAGGTAAAGGAAGCATTAAGGAAATTAAAAAATAGAAAATCACCAGGAGAGGACAGAATACCGAACTCAGAGGAACGAACGAAGTACGGAGGACCAAAGGATACAAATGTTAATTTCCCCAAAAAAGACAAAATGCACGGATACAACAGCAAATTTACAAATGATGTAAATTGGAGCTGGAAATAATAGAACAAGTGATGGAGTTTAAACATCTAGGCATCACATTACCTGGCTACAGAAAGTTCGAAACTGAAGTGGAAGATCAAATGAATAGAGCAAACAGAGGCTGCAGGCTACCTGAATGAAACAATATGGAGAAATAAAAATATCGGTAAAGAAATGAAAGGCAGAATTTACAAAACAGTCATCAGACCAATAATGACATACGCGGCAGAAACAAAACCTGACACAAGGGAGACAAAAATGATGTTAGAAACGGAAGAGATCATAACACTTAGAAAAATTTATGGTAAGACACTATGGGACATAGCTAGAAGTACAGATATACGACGTAGATGCAAGGTGGAGAACATCAAAAACTGGGTAAGAAATAGAAGAGTAGAATGGAACGATCGTATAAGCCGAATGATAACAGAGTAGTAAAGACGACAAGAGAAGGTTTCCTAATAGGAGAAGACGATCAGTAGGAAGACCACGAAAACGATGGAACACAACTTACTGGAGGTACATTGAAAAACAGACAGTCATGTCTCTATCATAGAGAAGAAGAAGTGACACAAAGATCAATGGAAAGGTCAATGTTAAATATATCCCTCAGGGACAGAGTTTCAAATCAAATAGAATCGGGAAGTCCAGAAATGAGGTCCAGAGAAGTTCCAGAGTATTTTTCCAGTATATTTGATTGAATTTGGTAATTAATTGTTTCATGATTTTTAACTAATTCGTCTAGACCAGAAGCTTTTCTAACGTTGAGGTTATTGAGATATTTTATTAGTGCCAACTTCCTCCAAAAAGTTGTCCAATTCTCTTACGGTATTCGTTATTTGTTATTATGGTATGAGAACAATTATTTCTCGTAATGTTTCCTTGTTTATTTTAGTTGTGCGGCGTCTACATTTATTCTACTAAATCATTTTCCATTTTTCCTATCGATTTCTTCTTCAATTTTACTGTTGTTTTCTCGACCTTATTTTATTTCTGACATTTCAATCTCTATGCATTTTGAGTTCTGATTTGTCTCCCAATTTGGAAGATGTTTGTAAAAATATCAATATCGGCACGACCCAAAGAGTATTTTTTAAATTTACACACTACTAATCAAAATAACAAATTGCTGATTGACATTTTTTTTAAATTCACGTCTCACTACTAAAAATACTATAATGAAATCTGCAAACGGTAGATAATTGATTTCTGCATGTTAAAAATAGTACCATTACGTGATTTTACACCGAATAATTTCCATATAACTATAAACAATACCATAAAAATTAATAGCCGCAACATAATGGAATTGTTCAATATTTGATTTTTGAATGAACAAACACATTCTTTGGAAAGGTTTATAAGACTGAATTGGGCAAATATATTCTTTTTCTACTATTTTTATCAGTAGCAGTTGATATATAATATATACAAATATAATTATCTGTGAAGGATGTTCAGAAATGTAAATTCAGTTATTTCCTTTTATTCTTCTTCTTCTTCTACTTCTTTGATGCTTCGTTCAATAGATTTGGGAGACCTTAAAAATTATTGATTAAATAATTGTGCCCTTATATTTCGAGCGAGGTCTTGCCTTCTTCTTCTTCTTCTTCTTCCAGTATCTAGTCTCTATGAATGTTGGCTATCAATCCACGATGTTTGTAGCCATGATATTATTTCTCTTCTACAAGGTCCTATTTATCGTCGATCTTTCGTTATAGTATTAGTTATAAAATGTTTATATTTTCTGTTTCTCGTAACAGATAACATGTTTGTGAAGGTGAAGCAACAATAGAAAAATGGAAAGCCATAAATATATTCACTCATCTCTTAGTTTTCGGAAATTCGGAAAAGACATCCAATACAAGGGGTGGTCATATCAAAGGGGGGAAACATCAAAAATAGTTATGCCTGATTATGGTAATTGTTGAGACTTTTCAAGGTTACGCTGTATGGAAGTATGATATGACATTTCAAGTCAAACGTCACATTCTACATGTCTTGTTAATCGTCATCTTTCACGTCAAATCTCACGTACGGAAATGTCTCTAACTAACAACTTAATAGGACATCCGTTCCCATCTTCATCCCAAATGGAGAAGACCATATCCCAAATGGAGAAATTACGACAAAAAATAGAGTTTAAAATTTAGTTAATATTACTTACAGCATTTAAACAACTGCTGTTGTACAGAGCCAAAGACAGAGCGTTAAATTATATAACATCGACAAAGTGAAAGAGTGACATATCCCTAGAATAAAGAGTTGCGATTGATTACAAGAACCATAGAAGAGGACTGGAGAGACCAGGAAGAGGTGGAAGTGTGGGATACGACAATAGCTTGATTTTGTAATATCCCTTTTTAATATACCACACCTCTAGCATCATGTACACTTAGTATTTTGTTCCAATTAGCTTCTATTCGCTTGCTAAAATAATACAGTATGCACTACTAAAAACTCTTACCGAAAAAGCTATTAATTTCCTAAAATTACTTATTTTTTGAAAAATTATTAAAATAAATATTTTAAGACTTACCTTGTTTGGTTCCTTACTGGATGCTACTTTCAGCTCCTCTGTGATAATGACTTCTTCAGCTTCTTCTTTGAATTCCACGTGAAGTTTGCCGGGGTGGGAATTTTCTTTATTGTCCGTATTTTCTGACTCATTCACGTCAGTTTCTTTCTCAACTGGCTTTTCTTTGGGCTGGAATTTTAACGATTTATATTTTTAAAATAGGTGCTTTTTTAAATATCGATGGGTAAGATATATGTAAGATATTATATAAAACTAAAAAAAATCTGATACTATATTTATAATACATATGAGGGTGTATTGAAAAATTTTTAGCCTACTGCAGAGAACATCAAAATCTGGAAGTCGAAGTATTTTTTAAATTATACTCTCCTACTTCACACCATTTAATCAGCTTTTTTCGATGTTCTGAGTTTTACGTTTGAAGCATGTTTAAAATTTCCTTAATTATTCCTTTTAGAAAATTACTTTCACGCCACCTACGTCCATATATTTTGCTAGATGCCTTAAAAATAACCCATAAGCAACAAGTGATTTGTCATGCCTGTTCACAACAACGAAATAGCTCACAGTCAAATTTGTCCTAGCTCTTATTATCTTTCGTTAGATAAATAGAAACCCTTCCTCTTAACAAAGAAGTTAGTTTCTATTGTCGAACAACCCAGCTTACTTTCTAAGAAATGCTGAGATTTTGTTCTATGAAAATTTTGTCAGCGCCGGAATTGTGCAGTAGAAGATACCTCTACCAGACTGAACCCAAAGTCTAGTGCCGTTCACTGAGTATCCTCCACTCTGTCATTAAAGAGGGTACACGTTATCTAAAAGGAGACAGCAATGGGGCCATTCACCGTTAGACATGGCTAGACTCTCCGAATGATCCGAGGCTGCACAAAAAGAAAATGATAAAACAGGTGAAAGGCACGTAATGCCATCCCCACGAAAGCGGTATCACCGCAAAAAATACCTCAGATACCCCATTTCTCAGGACTTCCAAGATTAAAAACATGTAAAGCCTCCCTAATATTATATACGTGTACGAAGAGGGGTGGAGGTAGCTTCGGTGTCAGGAAAATACAATCAATGATTTTACAGCTTCGAGTACATTTCTTCTCCTGGTTTAAGACCTAATCCTATTGAACCTTCAATTTTGCTCATCAAGATGACAGAAGAATACATTTATCGTATCTTAAAATATAACCAGAGCTTTCGCTTAGCTTATTAGCCCTTCTTCATTTGTAATATGGTCGACCCACGGAATTTTGTGTAACCTTTTAAGACAACACATTTTGAGTTGTTACTTTATAGGTTAGCGATCTTATTTTAAATGCCAAGTCCTGCTTCCAAACATTCGATGTAGAAGCAAAAATTCAAAGGCGTCGAACGAGGTAGTTATTAAATTGAATTACCATCCCACATTAACATTAATATATTAAAATGTATATTTATGAACATTGCAAGGTTTTTATTAAGGCAATTAAATTATGTAAACATTTCAAAATCTGTAAAACAATTAAAAATCAGTGTATTCGAAAGCTGTCAACAAAGATACATCATCTTTATGCATTATATTATAAACCATGTTATTAACCTAATAAACAAATTTTATTTCAGTCTACAAAGACTGTCTGATAAATTATACCATATCCGGTTGAAATTATCTGTTATGAGAAGTAACAATGCTAATGAAACACTTTCATCCGCAAAAATGTATTGTGATTAAAATACGATCTTTTGTTAAATTAATTGTTATTTGTGGTTTGTATTACAAAACCTATGAATTGGTTTCGGTTAAAAAAAAACAGAATATAATCAGCCAATAATTAATTAAAGATGACGCAAATATTGGCTAGAAACTGTTTTTTGTCCAAAGTATACTCGTACGTAATAAAAAAAAACATTAAAGGGTACAAAACGAGACTTTTGACATTTGTAGGTGTTGCAATATTTAAGCATGCTACATCTAATAAAAGAATGTTGGTTAGAATCCACAATATTAAAAACATGGCAAACGGCATATCTTTAAATAATCCATATCAATCTGGAAGTAGGTAAAGGGACAAAACTTTGTAAATATCTGCTGGGACCGCCTTTTCTTTATGTTTTCTAATGTAACCTCGGTTTTTTGGATGGTGCTAGACAGGTCACCAATGGAGACACTGCGGACGGCAACCAGATGGTTGGTGGAGAGCGAGTCGTGGGTTCGAAACTAGCTTTTGGAAACGGGAATGACTCTAACGGACGAAATAAGTAAAGGTAGAACAAGATAAGATATATTGGAAAAGATACATAAATAAACAAAAAGATAGATGGGTAAAATTACCAAAGATACGATAAGATAGAAACAGGGCGCCACTCAATTTTTTGGGGTTTAAGAGAAAATTAAGAAACCTTAGAAAAGAAAAGAGATAAGGAAAGATATTTAAGTTCAGAGATCGAACCCAAGGAAAGATACCAACAGTTAATTATCAAATAAATTTGGTCAACACACTATATAAACCAATAATAAATATATTAGGTGGACTCCGTCCATCTACTTACCTACGAAACTTAATCGGCCTGATCTTTCTCCTGGTCAAAGGTATAGTAATAATTAAAGGTAAAAAGCAAATATTCAGAGTTATGGTTATATCAGAAAACTTCTTAGGAGTCGACAAATAAAATGCATACATAAAACAAAAACAATATATTCAACAACACAATGATATCGGTAGCTGAATGTACACACAAGATAAAAATACACCATCAATTATAAAATGGTGGTATACATATAAAAATATGCCGTAATATGAATAATAAGTACCTTTACAAATACAACAATATAATAATGCACAGGTTCAATTATCAGCGAAGAGAGTCTAATGCTGAGTAAGAAAAAAATTCAACCAAAGTTGATTAAAGAAAGGCTCTGTTTGCTGTTTAATGGGCATACCTCGAGATACTGGGTTAAAAATGTAAAACAATTATAGCAAATAACAAAAATTAACCAAATCTAAATTTACAGGAATACAAAAAGGTTACAGAAATAAAAATTTTAACCAAACCGCACTTGGTTGTAGTTAATTATCTATCTCGCACTGTTATTTAATGATCGAGAACTAAATGTTCGTAATTATTTTATTGAAATTTCTTAGTAGCTGATGGAAAGTTCGTAAGAAAATATTGAATGTTCTTTAAATTGAATACAAAAATCAATAGTTACTCTCAACTACAGGTGAAGACATGGATGAACTTTGATTCGCCCAGATGATTGCATATAATATGATACCATACCATATTATTCGCCCAGATAAGTGGAGATACTAAGATTATGGTAACTTACAGTAATTCCTGATGACTGCTTCACTAATTCACTGAAGTTAATTTACTTTACTATAATACTTTACTTGTATCCAGCACTGAAGTTAATAAAAATTAAAGGTACTCTATAATTATATTTAATCTAATATAGTATTAGATTTCGAAACTCAAACGATTAAGTGTATACACACTAAAAAAGAAAAACACAGAGACGGTAAGAAAACGATAATTTAGGTACGAGTCCTCCCTTAAGGATCGCCACACGAGAAGTACCTCTTTACTCAACGAGTGCCCTCTCAGAAGTGAGTCTTTCTTCTCCAAAATTTACCAAAGTAGACACAAAAAAGGTTAGGGTATCTTCCACTTAAAAATGATAGGACAGTGGTATGTATTTCTGAGAAGATAAAAAGATTCCAACGACCATCGGAAAGTTTGAGGTATTTACGGTACTAGTAATTGGACGTGAGAAAAATAGGATCCTTTGAATTAGGTTATTATAGAAAAACATTACAACGTGCGTTCGACGATAATAGCCGAATTTATGAAAAAGAACTAGACGCGAAACCGGAAAGAGATTAGCCAAGGATTAAAAACCTTTCGTAATTTGAGAAGTCGGTACATTCAATAAAATTTTGAAGATGGTAAACCGACCATGAGCGTATCAGCAACGGAAGTAAAGGGAATAAAAATAATTATTATTTTAATTATATAAAAAAATGTTACACTAAAGTTCCCTATTTGTTGACATTCTTTTAATGCGACACAAATATCTAGTCATCAGTTGTTGTTGGTTTTCTGCGCTATAATTTGGATAGACATTTTATTGCACCAGTTTCACTAAATGTATTGTATGTATTGACACTAAATGTATGTATTGACAGTAGACCTTATGTTATTTCTGTTTCCAATATTTGTCGCCGTATATCGGCAATAGCGCGGATAATGTTGTCCATTAAGTCGTCAATCGATTCATGCTTATCGGCGAAAACTAGCACCTTTACATATCCCTACATAAAATAGTCTAGCAGTGTTAAATCGCACGATCTTGGAGGCCAATTCACGGCAATAAACGTGAAACTGTGGTTTCCAAAAGTTTCTTTCAATAAATTAATTGTGGCACGAGCTCTCTGGCTGACATCTTATTAAAACGACAGCTCCTGCACATCATGTTTGTTCAATTGTAGAATGACTGCAACGATCTGGTCAGCATTGTTTTTGAATAAGTATGGTCCAATGATTCCACCAGACCATAAAGTACACCAAACCATGTCAGTTTTTCTGAATGTTTTGGTTTCTCAACATACATTTGAGGATTCTATTAACTCCAAATAGGGCAGTTTTGTTTATTGGCGTAGCCATTCAACCAAAAGTGAACTTCATAGCTAAACAAAATTCGCTTATGAAAATTGGAATCAACGGCAATCTCGTTTTGGAATAGGTGATGATATAACTTCAATTCTTGCATGAGCTGGAAATTTCGAAAGCCTCAAGGCGATTTAGATCGATTTTATTCACAGTCCAGGACACGACACCATAAAGTAGGACCGAGAACATGTGGCAGCGAAGTAGGCAGATCCTCAATGCCAATTTTAGATCTCTGTTACATAACACCTTGGATATCCTTCTAAAAGCAGCTCTAGCCTGCTCTATCCTAGATCTAATTTCGCCGTGACTTTCTGCGTTACAATTTAATTGCTGTCCAAGCTAAACGATTTTACGAACTTGCTCAATTTCGGTATTATTTACGTATATAGATGGTTTTATATGCTGTTGTTTACTTATTACGAGTATTTTGGTTTTCCGTATGTTCCTCTGCCGTCCAAGCCAATGTATTTTAGAGCTTCGATCAATATAGAGTGCTTAACACGATCAAA